TTGTACTTGGGATATTTCAACAAGTTTGACGGTGGAATCCCAAGTGAGTTTGGGAATCTAATCAATTTGGTTCATCTTGACCTTGCAAATTGTAGCTTGAATGCTACAATTCCTTCAGAATTAGGCAAGCTTTCAAAATTAGACACGCTTTTCTTGCAAACCAATCAGCTTACTGGTTCAATCCCACCTCAGATAGGCAATTTGAGCAATCTGAGATCTCTTGATCTTTCCAACAATGAGCTAATAGGAGAAATCCCATTTGAACTCTCAAACCTCCGTGAGCTCACACTTATCAACTTGTTCATCAACAAATTGCATGGTGAGATTCCTAAGTTCATCTCTGACCTCCCAAAGCTTGAAACTTTGCATCTGTGGAAAAACAACTTCACAGGTTCAATCCCTCCTGGGCTTGGCCAGAATGGGAAATTAATTGAGCTTGATCTTTCATCAAATAAGCTTACTGGGTTAGTCCCAAAATCTCTCTGCCTTGGGAAGAAGCTCAAGATCTTAATCTTGCTCAATAATTTTCTCTTTGGATCTTTGCCTGATGACCTTGGAGAATGCTATACACTCCAAAGAGTTCGCTTGGGTCAGAACTATTTAACAGGGAAAATACCAAACGGGTTTCTTTATCTGCCTGGACTTTTACTTCTTGAGCTGCAAAACAACTACCTCACTGGTGTTCTTCCCAAAGATTCAGCAAATTCAACATCAAAACTAGAGCAGTTGAATCTATCAAACAATCGTCTGTCCGGGTCTCTCCCAGAATCAATTGGGAATTTCCCAAATTTGCAGAATCTTCTCCTCAGTGAAAACAGATTCTCTGCGGAAATCCCACCAGATATGGGGAGGTTGAAGAGTCTGTTAAAGTTGGATATGAGCAGAAACAACATATCAGGCAGTATTCCTTCAGAGATAGGGAACTGTGCCTCGCTCACATACTTGGACTTGAGCCAGAACCAACTTTCAGGTCCTATCCCTGTTCAAATTTCCCAAATTCGCATCTTAAACTATCTTAATGTCTCAAGGAACAACCTTAACCAGAGCCTCCCAAAAGAACTAGGGACCATGAAAGGGCTAACTTCAGCAGATTTCTCTCACAACAACTTCTCCGGTTCAATTCCTGACGTTGGTCTGTTCACAGTCTTGAATTCATCCTTCTTTCAGGGAAACCCAAATCTATGTGGATATGATCTAAACCCATGTGGCACTCATTCATCAAACCCATTTTCAGACTCCCGTGAGACTAACAATACAAAATCTGGAGTTCCTGGGAAGTACAAGCTTCTTTTTGCACTTGCACTGCTGGGATGTTCTTTGATTTTTGCGACCTTAGCTATCATTAAAAGCAGAAAGAAGGCAAGGAGGAATTCAAATTCATGGAAGCTCACAGCATTTCAGAAGCTAGAGTATGGCAGTCAAGATATATTGGGATGCATAAAGGAGAGCAATGTGATAGGACAAGGAGGAGCTGGAATTGTGTACAGAGGCACCATGCCAAATGGAGAGGAGCTAGCAGTGAAAAAACTCTTAGGATTCAGCAAAGGCTCTTCTCATCATGACAATGGCTTATCTGCAGAAATAAGAACATTGGGCAGGATAAGGCACAGGTACATAGTGAGATTACTAGCTTTTGTCTCAAACAGAGAGACAAATTTGCTTGTGTATGAGTACATGCCAAATGGGAGTTTGGGTGAAGTGCTTCATGGGAAGAGAGGCGAGTTTTTGAAATGGGAAACGAGGCTTAAGATAGCCATTGAAGCAGCAAAAGGGCTTTGTTACCTGCACCATGATTGTTCACCATTGATAATACATAGAGATGTGAAGTCCAATAACATATTATTAAATTCTGAGTTCGAGGCTCATGTAGCTGACTTTGGACTTGCCAAGTTCTTACAAGACACTGGGGCTTCAGAATGCATGTCTTCCATTGCTGGCTCTTATGGCTATATTGCTCCAGGTATGCACTTCTTTCAATAATCCAAATCAATTTCAAGTAAGTTCTGTTCTAGCTTCTGTTTCTTACAATCTAATTGGTCGTTTCCTCCAAGTTCAGAGGACATAGTTATTTTAAACAATGATTAGATCACTAAGTGGAATGAGGGGAGAAAGAGAAGCCTAACACGCATCAAGTAGGATGATTGACTCATCTCCAAATTTACTTCAGTAATCTAAATAACTTGAAAAGCAATGCGCTCTCAAGTAGGTCTCTAGCTTCTGTTCTTTCAATCTAACTTGCCATCCACTGAGTTCTGAAGCATTATTGTGCCAGAAAGAAAAGTTGAGAAAATATTATTTTCTATCACTGATTGATCCCTATATTTAACATTCATATACTCGTTGCATCTTAAACCGAGTGAGACGCGAGTCTTTGAATTGAAATATATATATATATATATATATATATATATTGATCTCAATGGCATATACTCTGTCTTTTCATTATGGGACCACAGAATGTGGCATGTACGTAGATTCCTAGAATGGGGGTAAAGGCTCCACTAACACAAAGGAAAATTCTTCTTTTGCTTTTTTTTTTCCTTTCATGTTAAGTGGTTGTATGAGCTTTTTGCTTGCATGCCTTGAAACCATAAACCCAGATTTTATTTTATATTCCATAAGTTCAGAAACCAAATCACAGCACAGTCATCTTCTTTTGACCAACTTGGCAGTCACCAAAGCGCACGTTAACCCAAAAGCATATATTTCCTCACCCTTAGTGTCAATGGCTTGGCTTCATATTTCCCCCTAAGATTCACTTTCTCAAACCCCTAGAAAAAGAAACACGAATATGTTAGTGGAGTAAGTTTGATTTGTTACCTTGGAAACATGGAACTGAATCTTTGTCCCCTTTTCTACCATGCAGAAGTTTTACTGTGTCAATCTTTCTCAATCAGACAAAGCATACCAAGACTTGATCTATTTATCTTTTTATATAAAATGAACTATCCCTCTTTTATTCTCCTTATAACGTGTTTTTCCAATAACCCCATTTGTATCAAGTGAGGAAAGGAGCCTTCTTTGATTTGTAATGTTCATTATGTTTTTGTGATTACTTTTATAAAGTAGGGCCAAGTTAGTTATTTGCTATCATGATCAAATTACTTTTTCACTGTGCTGATTTCAATTATGTTATGTTCGGGAACAGAGTATGCATACACATTAAAAATTGACGAGAAGAGTGATGTTTATAGCTTCGGGGTGGTACTGCTAGAACTCTTGACTGGTAGACGGCCGGTGGGCGACTTCGGAGAAGAAGGAATAGATATTGTGCAGTGGACAAAGATGCAAACAAACTGGAACAAAGACAAGGTGGTGAGGATCCTTGATGAGAGGCTGCACAATAGTATCCCCATAGATGAAGCAAAACAAGTGTTCTTTGTGGCGATGCTTTGTGTTCAAGAACACAGTGTGGAGAGACCCACCATGAGAGAAGTGGTTGAAATGCTTGTACAAGCAAAGCAGCCCAATACGTTTTAAATGCAACAGAAGGAGGAGGAAGAGGAGGAAGAAGAAGAAGAGAGAAGATAGAAGAAAGTTGAAAGTATACTGGTGCTTGGTGTTCATTTTTCCTAACTGGTTTTTGGTTTTGGTATACTAAAGGAGTTTGTACAATACATTTGTTGGGATTAATGGAACTATTTCTTTGCCTCTTAGATCTACTAGCTCTGTTGTTTGGCCAAAAAAAAAAAAGATCTACTAGCTCTGTTCATTTCTTAAACTGTGATTTGTATTTATCTAGTTTGATGATATGTTGATATCAGAATTGATTTTCCCCCTCTCAGTCGAAAGCTCATTAGCTCTCTTATAATTAAAAAAGGGAAAAAGTCATCCATGACTCCAAGTAAAAAATAAATAAATAAATATAGAGAGATTCCAAAAATTTTATATTTATAAGTCAAAAACCTATATATTTACATATAAAAATTGCATATTTAAATATCAAATTTGATAATTTATGAGTACAATTCGGACTTTTATATTTATAAGTTGAATTTGCATATTTACAAATCAAATTGGTAAGAACACTGAAAAATATTTACTATACTGAATTCTAATTACACTTTTAATTTTAAAGTAGATTATTTTTTTGGTGAAAATTTTTAAAGTAGATTATGTTCTTAATTCTTATAATATGTATAAAAAATTAAAATTTTATTGATACAAAAATTTCAACGAGAATTATGTCATGCCTATCAGGCATCTATATCCATATGTAATATTATTCAGCGTCAAGGTACATTCAGTTTGAAGTATTTTTCAGATGCATCCAATATTTTAAAGTATTCCTTTTTTTATTTAAAAGGCAAAAAGAGAAGATATTTTTTGTTCCTATTTATAGGGACCGAGAAATTTTTTTTTATATGGATATACAATTTTACATTCTAATATTCTATTTATTATTGTATTGACTTTGTCGACATAAGGTATAATGTACATTAAATAAGGTTAAAATTAAAAAGTTGTTGAATTTTAAATGACAGTTAATGAAGCTTAAGATTTCCTTAGTCTGTGTGAAACATATTGGAAGTGACTTATAAATAGGACCAAATGAGTATTTTATGATACATCCAGCACTCTGAAGTATTTTTTAAGTGCCTTCAACATCCTGAAAATTTTTTATGCTTGAGTGTTGGATACACCAAAAAATATTTTAAAATACTGAACAAACCTGAAAATAATACTTAACTTAATATGCTAGATGCATCTGAAAAAATATTTATGAGTACTTTAGGGCGTTGAGTGCACTCAAAAAAAAATACTTTAGGATGATAAATGCACCTTAATCCTATTATTTATTTTTATATTTATATTTTGTGTAAATCTCTCTTCTTTTTTTGGTGAGTAAAATCTCCATATTTATTACTCTAAGAATTAGTGCAGTTCTGGTTTTTTTTTGGGAAGGAAACAGCTCAGTTCTGCGAGTTAGTACACGGTACGTAAATACTAGACAGCCCCCGCGATCTTCCCTCGGCCCTCACCTGGTCGTAACCTCTCACATGTACAAAGCTCAAACGCTTCATGCATCCATCGTCAAGAAGGGTCTCGAGGACAATGTTTATCAGTGCAATCTCCTCCTTCAAGCTTACATCAAATCCCACGCCTTATGTAGTGCCCAGAAACTTCTGCGTTTCATGCCCAACCCCAATGTCGTTTCACACAACACTCTTCTCTCAGGCTACTTCAGCTCTGGTTTGGTTCCGGAAGCCTTGGAAGCTTTCACTGCCACACCCACGAAGGATTCTCATTCATGGAACATACTCATTTCTGGGTACGTGAAAAACCAGAGAATTGAAGATGCCATGGAGCATTTCGTGAAGATGAGACAAAGTCCTGTTAAGCCCGATGGGTACACGTATTCTATAGTACTACCCTTTTGCGATTTGAGTTCTGGGCATCAAGTGCATGCTGAGATTGTTAAGGTTTGCTCAATTTCCGATTCTTATTTGGGGACTAATCTCTTGCAGATGTATGCAAACTGTGGGGCTATCGAGGATGCAAGGAAGGTGTTCGGTGAAATGCCCATGAGAGACTTGGTTACTTGGAATGCCTTGATGTCTTGCTACTCTAGATGTGGGTTGGGTGATTTCTGCTTAAGTTTATATAAGCAAATGTATAGAGAAGGAATTTTGGCCGATGAGCATACTCATGCAATAATTTTAAATGACATGGCGTCTCACTTGCGACTGATGGAAGCAATGCAGGTCCACTCATGTGCAATTAAACTCAGCTTTTGCTCTGATCCATTCATCACTAATTCCTTGTTAGAGTTGTATGCAAAGTGTGGCTTAATTGACAATGCATTGGTATTGTTTGAGGAGATTCAAGATAAGGATGTTTTTGCATGGACAACAATTGTTACTGGTCTGTCACAGAGTGGACATGTGGATGAAGCCATGTGGCTCCTTTATGAAATGCAGTTGGCTGACGTGGAACCGAATTCCTTCACCTTTGGCGGCATGCTTGGTGCCTGCGCTGCAAGAAACACCTTGCAAAGAGGACGACAACTCCATGGTGTTGCTATAAAGTATGGATTTGAAAACAATTTGGTGGTGGGGAGTGCAATTTCAGATATGTATTCTAAATGCGGTGAAATGCAACACGCATTCATGATGTTTCAAAGCATGCCTCAGAGAGATATAATTGTATGGAATGGAATTATAGGCGGGTTTGCTCAAAATGGAGAAGCAATGAAAGCCTTGAAACTTTATAACATGATGGTGCAATTAGGACCTTCTGTTATTTCTCCAAACGATGTGACTTTTGTGGGTGTGCTTAGTGCATGTAGTCACAGGGGTCTGGTACAAGAGGGCTGTCGCTACTTCAATGACATGATTCATAAGTATATGATCAAACCCAAAATCGAGCATTATACATGTATGGTTGACTTGCTTGGAAGATCAGGGCTGCTTGAGGAAGCCGAGGCTCTTCTTCTGCAAATGCCTTTGAAAGCTGATGCGGTAATGTGGAGCACGCTACTGGGAGCCTGCAAGCTGCATCGGAATTTAACAATGGCGAAGCGCATTTCTGGAGATCTTCACACAGCAGGACCTTGGAATTCCTCAAATTATGTGCTTCTTGCCAATTCATACGCTTTTATGGGTGAATGGAGCGAAACATTAGAGATTAGGGAAAGGGGGAATTCAAAGGGATTGAAGAAGAGTTTGGGATGCAGCTGGATTGAAGCTGGAGGTCATATGCACTCATTTATTTCTGGGGATAAATCTTATCCCCTGATTGAAAGAGTTTATTCAGTTTTGAAGTCCATATACATTCAAATGTCTGATAAGGCACGAAAGAATGTTTAATTTTTAATTTGATTGGTGGAAGAAGATTAAGGGGTTGTTTAGATGGAAACAAACCGTAGTTTTAAAAGTGATTTTAGCATGTAAAGGAATTTATCTCGATTTGTTAAAAAAAAAAACACTTCAGCAGATATCCAAATGCCTTCTAAATCTTCTGCTAATAAGAGTCATGCTTTCTTGCAGTTTTCTTCTATCCTTCATCCACGTCTATGTGCACTTTTCAATTTTCTGTTAAGAAAAGTGTTCACGTTTTGTGCCTAATAGTGACTTATTCTCTAGGTTATATATATATATATATATATATATATATATATCAGGATGTCTTGAAAATAACCGATTCTTAATTTTTAAGAACTGTCTAATTATTATTATTTTTTTGGCCAACAAAAACTATCCAATTACTATCTCAAGATATCTTTTATAAATTAAATAAAAAGTTCTATGTGATTTGGCACCTGGACTGTGGTTCGGAGAATGAAAATCTAAACTAACTTTTTGGATATTTGTTACAATATATTAAATATTAAATTATCAATATCAAATATATGTTTTTTTCCTGCCTGCATCAACAATATATGTTTTTATAATTTATGGAATGCTTTTGGTTTCCATCAAGTGTTGGACCCACCTGCAAAAATACCTCCCAGTTTTTCAAAATTTTTTGTTTATGTGAATTTGATGCATACAATATTATCAGTATAAAATTCATTTATGAATAGAAACCTTAATCCGTAATATTGGATTGATCAAAAAAGTAATCCATAATATATGGGCGAAAATGGAAGCTTACAGTTCAATTTGTACTTATTTAATATTTTTACTAAGCTTAGGCATGAAGCTAATAAAATAAACAACCATATTGTCCTAATTTTGTTGGAAGAATGGAAGGTGACCAAAATTAGAGGTGAATGTTAAGGGCATAAATTTA